GATGAAATGAAATGAAATACAGCAAAATACGTGTATAATAGAATAGGCCATACAGAGAAATCATGTGGTGACCACATCAGATTTTTTGTTTAATCATTATTAGTTTAGACCTTTTAGTTTTTGAAATAATTAATAAATCATTAGTTTTCATGTTTTTTTAAACAAAACGTTTCTCTGAAAAATTAACATATTACTTTATTTCCACTTTGCATATTTTGAACTTTTCTCCGTGTTAAAATTAATGTTAAAATTATGTAAGGAAATTAATGAGAAAATTTGGGCAAATTATTTATAGTAAGAATTAATGTTATTCTGTAATTTAATTTGTGATTTGATAACAACAATTCTACTATATACGTATATATATATTAATATAGCTCTAAATAATTAACTTTGCACGAATTCCTTTATGGCTCATGTATTTACTACAAAATTTTGTTTGCTTTAAAAGGTAATATAGTGTTTAATATAATGAAAGTCATTGGAAGTGCTATTTTCTGCATTGCATATTAAAATTTCAAGTTTCTAGAAATTTAAATATTACTGAAATCTTTAGAACTAGAATTTTCATACATGAATTTAATTTTCTTCCTAAAACTAATATTTCATATAGCAAGATGATTAATCTTCTTTGAGAATTCCATTTTTTGTCGCAATAAATTAAGCAGATTGGAGTTAAATTTCACATTGCGTATTTTCTGATATTTCAAAATGAAAATTATTGAGAAAGATACGTAACTTAGTAAAATGAAACGCGTATATTGTTGATAGAAAATGGCAATTTCAGTAAACGTTTTTTAATATGAAAGCCTGGAAAAGGTACTTATAATTTAGATTTTGATCTATTGTTGTACATATAATTTAAAACGTGACTTTTATTTGTTGTATAAGTAAAGAATTTCTTTCTGAAAAAGGAGATTTTTATGTAAAACTTTTCAAAATACGTGCTTTGTACTAAGAAATAATTTTAAAAGTTTAAAATTTCTCCGTATAACTGAATCTTTCTTTCTGTTTAGCTCTGAGATACACATGCGTTTTCATCTATTAAATCATATTTAATATTAACAAAACCATTTAATGAAGTCAATTGCAGAGCTCCTCATTAATAACCTACATCGTGTCCCTAATTTAAGCGCAGATTTCCAGTTGGCTAGAATCCAGTCATTTCTTTGCACAGTTAACATCAATCATTTGAATTGTTCCACAAGGATGTAACAGGAGTGATTAATTACTTATAGTGCATCTCTGCTCAAGCGAATTTTACTAAATACATGTATTTACAATCGTTAGTCACCGCGAAGGTGATTTATGATCCATTTTATGGCCATTAAACATAATCTCAATACAAATCTGGTATCTTTGAGTATGTGGCACTCAATGAATCTCACGCATAAATGTAGTCACAACAGCCATATGCCCAGTTAATGGTTGTTTGAATTATCATAAGATTTTGCCTATGCCGCTTAAAGACCCTATTTAAAATTAGAATAAATCTGCTTTATAACCGCATTATTTGCTCTTATCGATTGCTTTAACATTGATGTTAATTTAAATTAATTTAGGTTAAGGTGTAACATAATATAAAATTCAAGTTACTTACATTAAACTTGAATTACTTTGAGAAAGAATATTCAATATAATAAATGTAAGATTTCCTTCCTAAGATATTTATATAATTTATTCTCATGCTCTGTTTTCCAGGACAAAATAGAATAATTAACTGTATTTAAAATTTTTCCTTTAATCATAATATACCCTTGAAATTTTTATACTCATTATTGTTTTATGATAAGCATTTGATTGATAGTTATCCTTGACTTATCACTAGGCTTGAATTAATAAGCATGTATAGGGAACATGTTCTTAAATAATCTATCTCATCACCTTCTAAAGCATTTTCAATATTATTCAATCGATCTCATTGAAATTGCACTAAAAGATACTGTACTATATATATCAGTTTCCGAAAGACAATGATTTTGATTTATTTTGCATTGGTTTTTTTACGTTACATAAAGGTTGAATTTTTCCTCTCTGGTGCTATATTACCCCGTCTTTATAAAAGATTAAACAACCAAATCGATTTCTCACCATGTGGCACTTTTTCATGAAATATCCTGGAACTGCATGAATGAAACTATGAATAGATAACTGATCAAAGTTTCTTCCTGTAAACTTCTCAGAAAATGGCATTTCAGCTTGTTAAACCAGCTATGATGTTTCCATATTTTTGAGAACCATGTTCTGCTCAATAACCAGATGCTAGATATAAACGCTAGTCATGCCTCCTCCTGTTATATAAACAACATAAATTCATACTTAATGAATAATTACATATGAACACCATATCTGTGAATCAACTAGAGCAAAAGTTCATTCTGGGTTATGCAGTAGGTAACTGTGAGTTTAAGTCACTTATCTGAACATATCAATCAATATTGTAACAATAACATACTAAGTATTGTGAGCAGTCATAGTGAAACATTAAAACAAAATACGTAAACAACTCCATAATTGCGTTGTGAAAATATTGTTAACCCGTTCTATGTTTAAGGTACAGTGTAAAAGATAATTACAATAAATACAGACAGGAGAATAAAATCAACTTACGTTTATTTAAGGTAGGAAAAATATTATGATTACAAAAAAACATAAAAAGATTCATGACCTCACTAAACATTACAATTAAACGTGGTGGCTGGATCAATTAAAGAACTAAATGTGAAAACAACAGAAAGGATGACATACCCTTCTTTAACATATTAGGGATCCTTCCATATATTTTGAGTTTTGTTAGCGAACCTTACTTCTCAAAAAAAAACTTGGGATAGTATCTGAAATGAGAAAACGAAAGGGGTTAGATTGACGAGACTCAACCAAGCTATTGGTTCGGAGGCCAGGCTTCCCTCCTATTACTTATTCCAACCAGCAGGACACAGGTCTTCCCTCCACAGGCCATCAAGACAGCGTAAATTTTAGGATGAAAATATAGATGTTGCAGCCTCTCTTCGGTGTTGGTTGTTTTACGTTGCTACGTCTAAGATGAGGCTCACCTCCGAGCTGCTCGCCCAAGTTGACATCTTATAAGTTCTCGTGAAATTTCTTTTTTCCGTCGAAAGTCTCTCGAAAAAACACTGCGCAGCCGTTTTAGTAGCTGGTGCGTTTTTTGAAAACTTGGCGTAGATGGTGACTAGCAGGAAGCCAAAAAAAGGCAACCCACACTCTGGATCTTGATAGGGGAAAAAAGTAATTCTGTATGTCCCGTTTTCTATTTTGTTTTATAATTTGTTTGCATATTATAATTTTTCAGTTTGTTTTCACTTTATAACTTAAGTAAAATTTATTTCTCCATTTTATTATTACTGTTCATGTAATGAAAAGTATCTGAAACTATTAAAATTTTAACTTTTTTTCATAGAATTTGAAAATAAAAATTTATTATTAACCAAAGATTTTAAAACAGGGCAGGAACAAGTACAGGGAGCACCACGCCATCGCCATTTACAAAAATGGTATAGCCCCCATGCACTACCTCTCTAGCGCACCGCCCCTTCCACAGGGGGCCTGATTACGGTATACATAGGACATAGTACTAGCAATAAATAAGACATAGAACATCATACTGTTACAGCATACTTCGACACATAGGACATAGCATTAACATATGGTTACAGATTATTTACAATGCAAAAAGTTATGTTTATTATAGAGCTTGTTGGTTTTGGCACCGCCCCTTCCACAGGGGACATGATTACAGTAAACATAGGACATAGCACTAGCAAAGTATAGGACATAGCATACTGTTACAACATACTTCAACACACAGGACATAGCATTATCATACTATTACAGATTATTTACAATGCAAGAAGTTATGTTCATACGATATATCATTATCATACTATTACAGATTATTTATAATGCAAGAGGTTATGTTCATTATAGAGCTTGTTGGTTTTGGCTTGTTGGTTTTGCTTTATGATACCTAGGGTGTTATATTTGAATTATGTATTGAATGTTGTACTGCGGTAATTAGGTAGGTAGTGTTCCATATGGTCCAAGTTCAATGTTCAGATTTTAGCAGTCCATGGGTGCGCTACTTTAACATGTACTTTAATGAATTATTGCATTTGATGCACTGGTCAGCTGTTCAGTACACATGTGGAATTGGTACGTTTCACCTGGTGTATATTCTGTTACCTGTTTAAGGTGGTGTTTGACGAGTTGTAGGCACCCCTGTGACGATACATTTCTTCTCTTGTGGAGTATGTGAACACTTTACTAGTGACACAATGGCATAGTACCAGTGGATTCAGGCACATGTACAATATAAATTGTTAGCTCGCATTATAGCTAGTCCTTTTGGAGGACAGTTATTATGAGATACAGACTTTGAGATCACGTTGCCGTTAGGGGGTTTGAGCTTGTTTTTCATTCTGGGGAGCACAGCTCGAGTCCATATTGGTGTAGTGTGTCTATTAACTATCGAAGGTTCTCATACAAATTTCTCCGCTTGATTAGTAACCTTAGAAATTCTATTCCGGGATTCGTGGGATGGCGCACATGGTAAGTTGTAGTCAGGGGACATTGTAGGATGTAGTGATCAGGGTCGTCCATCTCCCCACATACACACATTTGTTGAAGACAGATTTCTTTCGCAGAAGTATGTGGGAAATGGACCATGACCGGAAATAAATTGTGTTAGAAAATAGTTGGAGATTATGCGTTCTTCATTAACCTTGGGTAGCAGACTGTGTGTCCGACGTCGGTATGTCCATTCGTCCATTTCATTTGCCAAGCCTCTTTGGCAAGTTGTTTCAGCTTTAGTTTGATTGATGATTGAGGCCATGGGACGCTTATAAAGTCGCCTCGCTGTTCTATCGCAGCTTGTTTTGCAAGGGTGTCTGCCCTCTCATTGCCCTCGCAGTTGCTGTGACCCCTTGTCCATGTGATGACAAAAGTTTTATTGCTGGATGAGATGATATTTTGAATTTCATGTGCTATGCAGAGCTGATAGTTGGAGATTTTATTGCATATATTGATGATTGGCTATCCGTAATAATATGAATTACCTTGGTACGTGCTTGGAGATAGCTTGTGCTGTGTTTTATTGCTGCCAGTTCAGCTTGGAATACGCTATTGTCCGGTCGTACATGCCCTTGCCATTCACTAGTGGTATCTGTTCCAGTCCGAATAGTCACGCTGCATCCAACTTTGTTGTCTATTTTGGATCCATCTGTGTAGGCAATGAGCGTGGTGTTGGGAGGTGTTTGGGTTAGGTTACATTTCAAATTATCCAGTATTATTGCCGGATGGGTATGGAATTTACGTGGTTTGGTTTCATATTTATCTGGTTGGAATATTTTCCCGTTGAATTCGGCGGGTTTTTTAAGCTGTAGGACTGTTGCTGTAATGGCATCTATTTCAGCTTCTATGGATAATGGACGTACTCCCGCAAGTACTTGAAGTGCGTTCGTTGAGGTTGTGCGAAATGCTCTTGTGATATTTATTAAGAATGGTCTTTGTATCGAGTTCAGTATTTTGGCTTTTCTTACAGTCATTGGGAGTGCCCATACGTGTGCTGCATAGTTTTACTATCTTATTGATAACAGTCTTTAGAAGAATCTTCGTAATATGGTTATTTAGGCCCCATTGATATCCTCTCATCAATTTCAACACTTTGGCAATTTCTGACGTTTGTAAATCTCTTTTCCTGCAGATGTGGAATCCATGTGAATTTGGGATCTATTGTCAGGCCCAGGTATTTAACTGTTTTTACACACTTAATTTTTTGGTTGCCTATCTTTATTATCGGATTTCTTGTTAATTTGCGGCCAGGTTTGTGGATTGTTAATGCTTGTGATTTTGTATGCGAAATACGGAGTTTTATTTGTTGACATAGAGAGTGAAATATTGACAGAGTACTTTTACAGTTTTCCTCTAGCGCATTGCGCGTGGATCCGTTGACAACAAACGCCACGTCGTCTGCAAATACAATGCTATTCGTATGGTTGGGCCATTGGTGCTGAATGATTTTGTTGAAGGTAATGTTCCAGAGGTCTGCGCTCATACAGGACCCCTGTGGGCATCCTATCGTCTGTTGTTTGGTAACTGTTATATTGTTATAATTGATTATACTTTTTCGGTTGTTTAGGTATTCTATTGTAAGTATAAAGAGATTTTTAGGACAGTCCATCTCAAGGTTTTTAAAACATAAAAATCGTATTTTTCTGAAATCATTTCGTTAAGTCGCACTTTGCCTTGGGTTCCACTTTTGGAACATCCAGGCACGAATATACGCTTTTCCTTGGGTAGAGTATCACATGTTCAGAATATGAAAATGTTTGATAGTTTATTGCTGCTTACATTTTCATCGCAGTGATTTTAAAATGCAATTTGTTGATCTTTAAAGAAATAAAATTTACGTAAAAATAATTGTGTTTTACAGTCATGATGCTCTTGTTTTATAGTGTATATTCTATTCATGTTTAATGAAATTAAATCCCAATATTATAAAAAAAATTACATGCCACAATTTTTTGAAAAATGTGCTCTTTATCCAAAATAGTCTAGAGTTGCAGAAAAATGTATTATACTCTATTCAATATCCTTTCAAAACCTTTACTACTGTGACTTAAATTGTGACTTAAATTGTCGCATAACTACTGTTAGCGGTCTCTCAGACCGCTTCTGATAAAAACAAAATAAGATATTGTTTTACTTTTCTTATTTGAATAAATGTTATTTAATTTCATATATTTAACTTTTTCATGAAAATATAAAGCAATTTTTATACTTAAATCAGTTCATTAGAATAAAATATATACTATGATAATAATTCCTTCGCTTACGTATCTGGATGGAAGCAGTAAATTTTAAAATTCAACTTTTTTTACTTTACATTAAAGCATGCGATGAGCATGCTTTAATAAGAATATAGAAAATTGAATTTCTATTTTAAAAATTATAATTCGAAGCTGTATTTTATACATATTTTTCTACTGCATTGTAGACACACTTGTTCTTTGCATTCTATACATTTGTAAGCGCTGTTTTCCTTTTTTTTTTCTTTTTTTTGCTCGGTGAACAAATATAGCACGTTCTTTTTCTTAGCTAATTTATCGTCTTCAATCGCAATGCTTCCTTCATCATCATTTATTCCGAAAACTCTTCTTATTGTAAGTTTGAGTTCTTTAGGTAAAAATGATGAAGTTATCCTCCGTTTTTACATGAGACTGCACCAACAGAATTGCTAATGAAATCTTTTCGTTTCATTTTCGGAGCCAATGGGATAAGATTGAAATACTATGAATGCATTTATTGCACATGTATCCACGTTTCTGAAGAATATTGCAATAGGCCAACGTCGGGTTCTACGAGCAGTTGTATAGATTGAATGAAGAATAATATTGTGATTACGAGTTCGAACACTTTTGTTGGGCACTTGAATAGACTATTTGAATTCATTTTTTCCAATAAAAAAATCTCTTGCAGAAGAACATATTGTTTTCATTTTCATCAGCAGAATATTTCTGAATTTGTGTCGTGGTCGCTCTCAAATTCATGGGAACTTTCATCATAGAACTCTAAATTAGACGAGTTTCGAACTATTTATTAAAATTGGTCTTGTCTTGGGTAAGATATATAGAACGTTTCCTGCACGCATCTGAAGCAATTTCAAGAATATTTATAAAAAAGTGAAATATGTAACAACAATGAAAAGTGAACTTTATCGGCCGAAATTTGAATCGTATCTGCTGTGATCGGTCCCACAGACCGCTGAGGAGGGGAAATTCAAAAAACAAAAAAAATTAAATAAAATAAAATAAAATAAGAAATAGAGCTAGCTAAACGCAACTTGATATGTGACCTTGGACAACTGTTTTAAGAAGGTACTAAGAATGGCAAAACCCATTAATTATTCTAAGAGGTGGAAGCATTTCATTAAAGGTTAACAAGCAAAAAGAACCATTGTGATCATGTTGTAATGATGTATTATACCATTATGTTGTGGTAGATATGTATTATACCATTATACATATAAAAGGAAGTTGATGTTATGAAATATATCCATCTTATTTAAACTAAACCGAGGAAATGATTATTAGGTAATGTTTAGCTCTGATACTTTTGAAAAACTTAGATGATTTATTTTGTTCAAATCGTGCATTAGCTGCGAATGATAACGAATAAAGTAAATCCATCCCCTGTTCCCGGTAGGTGACGCAGTTGGATGGAATATTAATAATACGTATGATGTAATATTTGCGTTATTTTGAATGAATACGTAGCTAAGAAATGTTTAATGTATGTCACAAAAAAGTAATATTTCTGAAGTTTAAATCTATATTATATGGTAGGTTTTAATAATTTCATAGTCTCTCTATACACCATTCAAATATCAAATAAAAAAAATTTTTCACTAATTATTTAAAATATCTAAAACACATCTATTTCATAGCTCTACCCCAAATATGGTATTACCAAATTTTACAACTGGCTGAGTTGAAAATGAAGTAACTGTAAAATGAAGTCTGAAGAAGTAGCTAATAAACAGGATATTCAGTCAAAGTCCGCGGTCAAAATTCATAAATTGGCGTTGGTAAGAGCCTGAGCACCATACCGGTGATAATAATTCTGAGTTCCTTCCCCAGTTTTGAAGTATACCACTCTGAGCAGACGAGTCCCAGAGTTTTCCAACCCTCTTTCTCTACCAACAACCTGTCGAGAGGACTTTCGGCTAGCCTCATGCCGCACACTCACTATACATTTACAAACATTCTTGCTTTCTCCGGGATTCGAACGCGAGTTTCCCGTTACGACAATCAGCGTCGTTAAACATTATCAGGCTAGCTGGTTCAGAAATTTAATGAAATCATCACTTACCATATTTTGTTTTACACAGCAGAAGACAAATGAAATCCATGGAGAACGTTCTGTACACAGACCTTGAACAACTTTGGCTCAGTATTCAGAGTGGCAACGGATAGAGTTTTTCGTCCAACAGCAATTCCAGCGAAGATCCTACCAAATGCGGATTCAAAAGAGCAAGTAATGCGATTGTCCTAGCCGAATTATTCACTGCAGATAATCCTGAGGAAGACACGGCAAATCATGTGATACGTAGAAATTTTCAAAACTACCGCAAAAATGAATCTCTATTCAAACCTTTACCAAACAATAGTGAAATTAGATACATAATTTAATTTCAACTCTTGTGACTTGGAGTCATATACTAGCGATTTTACTATGTTTGAACTAAAGAGAGCTTTGCTCCAGACTCCAAAGGTCCTGTCCGGGTCCAGATGATGTCAGTTATAGAAAGTTAAAGCGTCTTCCAGAGCTGTCATTGGTTACCCTTCTCTATCTTTACATTCCAGTGTGGAAGAAGCACTTCTTTCCCAATTTGTAGAAGAGAGTTGTTGTTTTGTCATTCCCATAGCTAAACCAGGCAAAGACCTGAAGAATCCCTCTAATTATTAGCCTGTCACAGTGTGTCTAGGGTGTCTGCATTATTAAAACCTACCATATAATATAGATTTAAACTTCAGAAACTAGTGTGTCTGCAAGTTGTTTGGAAAAATGGTGAATTGCTGCTTATTCTACTACCCAGAGAAAAACAATGTAATCTCCCCATATTAGAGTAGTTTCTGTAAAGTAGAACAAAGATCAATAAAATTGTTCTTTTGGAAACCTTTCTCCATAAAGTTTTAATTCCTCCTAGAGCGAACGTCGACCACGATTGAATTTGCTATACAGTACACAGTCCTTAATCCAGACTCGTCGGAACTTATAAAATTACACCTAAACTGATACTCGCCTTTACCCACGCAAGTTGGAAACTACGGTGTTTCCCAGCGGACACCAAGAGAGCAGAAGTCGTCCTCTTCTACAAACAGAAAAATATCCGGTTATCCCTACATTATACAGACCAATCAGTTTAATTCCAGCACTCGGAAAACTTCTTGAAGCTGCAATATTTTCTAACAGGAAACAAGTTATTAGCTCCTTCGCAATTTTGATTCATGCGCGGGAAATCTACCGAACATGCAATATCCCACCTACTCATGGTGATCAACAGAAATAGGGCAAACAAGAAGCATTCCCTAATTATCAGTCTAGATATTCAGGGAGCATTTGATTCCTTATGATGGCCGGACATCATCGATGCTTTGGTTACCATGGAATGTCCAGGTCAACGTATCGACCTTAACGCAGTACCTTTCGGATAGATGGATTCAGACAACCACAGATGCTGGAGTGGTACCTCATTCACTGCAAAAGTCTGTCCACAGGGCTCGTGCCTTGGGCCAGTCCTGCGGACGATAATAGCAAATACAATTCTACAACAGTTCCAAAGTTATGAAGACTGCGAACTCACTGCTTACGCAGATGACTTTCTAATTGTTGTGGAAGGACGTTCAAAAATCAGATATAAAGCTTAGGCTTAGCTGGACCCTTTCTCACAATGGGCACGAGACCATAAAATACATATCTCATCCAGCAAAACACAAGCTGTCATAGTGGGTGCACAGCGTCCTTTAAATAGGTAACCAAAGTT